AGACCATCGGAACACGACACCCTCACCGTCTCCGCCATCCTCGGTCCCTGGGAGTGTGGAGACCCATGCCAAGAAGCACCCTGGTTGCCTCCAGGGTGTCCTGGGTTTCGTTTCGATGGTTCCCCAATCAGAGCTTGCCTCTGCAGGGATCCTAGCGGATTAAATGGGTGAGGCTTGTCGCCGATTTCGGTGGCCGGGCCCGGGTGCCCGGCGGCCCGGCGGTGCCCGGGTGCCCGGGTGGCCGGTGGGTTGCGTGGCCGATTTCGGTGGCCCGGCACGGGTGCCCGGGTGCCCGGGGGCCTGGGGGTGCCCGGGAGTGCCCAATAGCCCAATAGCCCAGTAGCCCAGTAGCCCTATAGCCCTATAGCCCTACAGCCGTATAGCACTATGGCCCTATAGCCCTAGAGCCCTAGAGCCCTAGAGCCCTAGAGCTCTAGAGCCCTATAGCCCTATAGCTCTATAGCCCTGTAGCCCTATAGCCTTAAGGTTCTATAGACCCTATAGCCCAATAGCCCTATATCACTATACCGCTATAGCCATATAGCCCATAGAGCCTCATTGCCCCAACAAAAATCTGATTGGTGTTTTTCTCCGGTATCATTTTTCTACGGGAAGCGTGAGGTACCCACACCAAAAATCCACGGACGTCCTGGGGTCTGAGGGTTGGGTTTCTTGTGGAAGGTTTCTTGTGGACTGGCCTCCACTGTACGACGTCCCGAAGACATGCGCGATACACCCTGGGCGGCAAAAGGCCCGAAACGGCATCTGCAACATTGAGGGGAGCGCTGCCGTGAGGAAAGACATTCAGGTCTACTTGTGTGGGGCCGCATCACATTGAAACGCGAGGGCACACCCACACATTCTGAAATAGCTCCTCTCTCCCACGGCCGTGCCGGTCTGGATCTACCCAGGCAGATGATCGATGTGCTTCCCAATGCGTTATTGACCAACGTCCATCAGATGATGATTACAATTAATTCGGCCTGGGCATTTCTCACTGTAAAGCAAAACGCGTATGGTTGACTTATTTCGATTTACGCAGAATTCAGCCATGCGGGCCACATGCGCGCGATCGTGCATGCGCCCAAGCAGAAAGATCATTGCACGAGTATTATTCTTAAGCACTACAAGATGGAGCTCTTCAAGTACGTATGGCAGCAGATTGTATTCACATCTCGAATTTCCTGCGCGCACTTGCTCATCATCCTCATCATCACTATCGTCACCAGCCTCGTCAATATCGTCGTCTTCAGTGTCATCGTGATCACCACTAACCCTATCATGGCCTTCCTTATCATCATCATAATCATCAGCATCTTCATCATCATCAGCATCATCATCATCACCGCGCTTGCCACCGTCACTATCACCATCGTCACCACCATCGTCTGAATCATCAACATTCTCATTGAGATCCCCGAATAAGTTCCCACCCATCACTTCTTCGCACACTACTTTCGCGCTCCACCGTCGTCCCACCAGCTAGGATTGTCGTCGCCCTCATCGTCGTCGTCGTTGTTGCAATCCTCGTTTTCGTCGTCGTCCTGGTCGTCGTCGTCCTGATGGTCTTTGTCGTCGCTCTCGTCATCTTACTCGTCGTCCTCGCCGCGATCGTCGTCGCCCTCGTCGTCGCCGGCAGCCTCGTGGGTCTCCGTCGGTGGCACACTACTTTGATGCCCCGCCCGACCAGACCCGCCCGCCCGTGAGTGCCCGCCCGACTCGACCCGCCCGTTCGGTCCGTCCGCCCGGCCCGGAGGAGCATGGTGTTGCCAAGGGTCAGTTCGGATGGACCGTAAGTTTCTGATTGGATTGGGGTGCGTGGATACAATCGCGCCTCGCAAAAGCCAAATTTTACTGCAACCCAGATGCGTTGTGATACTTACTCTCCCTGTTGAGCCCTGTCGTTTCGAATCCGGCCCGTGCATGCTTCTTATGTGTGTTGCACGTGCGTGCTCGATATCACCGTCCGTCCTGCTTGTGAGATTATGCCGTTCGCTACGGAGCCGTATCGGTCTCGGTATTTCCTTGTGCTTTTTGTTGTACAACAAGCGTGTGTTTGAAAGCGACCGTCCGTCCCAACAATGCAAGACCAGATTCGGTGTGAAACCCGATCTAACACGGGCACCATCTATTGAGGCCAAGTGATGTGCGATGGGCATATGTGTTGTTCTATGTTGCGAATTCAATCTAGAAGTCCTAATGCGGGCCATACATACATATGCATTCGCTTCCGCGCGTAAGACAACATCATTAAACAACCAGTTTCCTAAAGTGCATCAAGATCGAGCTCTTCAAATACGCATGACAAACGTAATCCCCAGCAGGAACTTTCGAAATCCTGTCATATTCTCTGCACGCGCCAGCCCGCATCAACACCCTTCTCAAGATGCGCTCTTGGGCTCACCAAGTTGCAGGGCCTTCCGATTGCATTCAGCGAGCAACATGATTGCATGTGTACGCTATGTTACTTTTCCGTTGGCTGGGACTGTTCAGATGCGATGGGCTTGAAAGGAGTGAAAGTTTGCTTCACGTTTTGCCAGGGAAGGTTTAGGAGGACGGCCGCTCTCCGCAACAACGAGATTACATTGGATTGTTGCACATTTTTGTTTTATCGGAAGTACCCTCCCCCCATGAGCACGACCGTTCCTACCTCAGGCTTGCCATGCTTCATTTTCTCCTATGTTTGATTCCCCGAGCGACTTTCGCGTCAGTGAAACAATGGCATGTGAATGCGCAGCCCCATCCGCCCCCCCGGCACGATGCCCTTGTAGCAAAAACAGTTTGCGATGGACATGTTGGTCTAGGTTGCAAACCGTGCATGGAATCATACAATACAGGCCTCATTTGCGCGCTCGCAAGCGAAAGACAGTCATTCCAAAACCAATGGATTTCCAGCTATTTAAGCACGAACGCTTCTACACGCCTGTGGCAAACAGTGCTTGTTCCATGCAACATGAGCGCATACCGCCGCCTACACATTGTACATACTGTCATACTGACAGGGTGGGCAGAGAGTATGATCGCGCCCCGCAAGCAATACTACACTATCCTGTCTTGCACCCTGGTACAGCACTAGCGACCAGAGAACTCGGGCCGCGGGCCGCGTCGCGGGCCGACTAGAGACCACGGGCCACGATCAGAGGCCACGTGCCACGATCAACGACCACGGGCCACAACAAGAAACCACCGGGCCCGACCAGAGGCCACGGGCCCAGGCCAGAGGTCCCGTGAGACCGCATTTTCGAATGCGCAGTGCGCCCGCCAGTTTGGGAAGACACATATAGGACTAGGACCCTTACGCACCATCTGCTAATGGAAGCATCGTGAACAAAAAACGACCATGGCTCTCGACCCCTGGTTCCTGCGGTACTTCTCCATACGGACCGATCCGCGGTGGTCCGATACTGGTCGAAATAAACTCTCGGGGGGCGAAGCAATTGCGACGCCGGGATCTCAAGGTCTTCGATCTTTGGTGTTCGACCCTCCATCCTCTTCGACACAGCGAACAGCGCAACGCTTCGGGCGGGGCAGCCGAGACCTATCTTGGAGTGCGTCCTGACCAGAGCGTCGAGTCAAACCCAGCCGTGGCCACGAGGACCTTCGAAAACATCAGAAAACAGCCGAAGACCAGGGCAACCTCCTCTCCCCCCCCTCGATCCTCGATCCTCGATGCTCGACCTTCGATCCTCTTGGATTCGGCGGCAGGCGGGGCTCCTCGGAGGCCCTCCACGGCCCTTCGAGCAGAGGCCCGAGGCCGCCTGAGCGCTGAGCTTGCTGAGCAGGCCTGCACCAGGCCCGCCCCCTCTGCCCTTCCCCACTGGGCGCGCCGCCGCTAGATAGCTGGCCTCTGCCGGCACAGCGACGGCGCAGGGCCTGCTGGCCGGGGTGGACCGCCGCGGCCCGCTGGCGCGTGGGCGACGGGCCACGCCGCGGGCGCGTTTCACGCGGGCGCCGATGCCGGTGTCCTGCCATCCTCGGCTACGCGTTAAGATCAGGAGCGAAAGAAGGACGTACAAGTGCACGAATCCACGCTGGTGTCAGGAGCATTCGTTGCGTAAACGTTCGTATTTTGCGGCCGGTCTCTTGGATTGGGGGGGGGCGTGTTCATGTGCGGGTTTGGGCGCGTGCGTCCTTTGAGGGCTCCCTGCAAGAGTGGCCCTTCGCCAGAGCGGCCTTCGGCGCGCACTGGCTATGGCCTGCGCATTGGACCGCGCGCGTGGGTTTGGCCACCCCCCGCGGCCCATCAAGGCCGCGCACCAAAGGTCACTCTTGTCCAGGGTCACTCTTGCGTGTAGCCGACATTTGGCGTCCACGGGCGCCCTCCTCCCTTTCGTCGTTGCCGTGATTTGGCAGCGCCCATTGGGGGGGTGGCGAGAGGGGAGGTGGCCTTCTAAGGAGGCGGAGGGGCTTCTGAGAAGGCAGGGTGGTTCATTGGAAGCCCTCCTGGCTTCTGCGAAGCCTTCTTGGAAGCCTCCAGTGCATCCTGCCCCTGCCTGCAAAGACCCCCCCCCCCCCCAACCCACGCCCTCTTGGAAGCCCACGCCCCTCGCGCCACCCCCTTCTGGGTGCTGCCAAATAAGGTTGCATCTCCTGGGGGGCCGCAGGTAGAATTACGGATCGGCCACTCTAAATTGCCTGCGCTAGGCCAGCCTAATTTGGATCAGTCATGCCGAGTCCCGCTTGGTCCAGGTCAGTTTGGTGAAGCTATCGGCCCAGCCTGGCATCATACGCAGCCCCCAAACATAGGTCTTAGTGTGTGTCCCTTGTTCCCACGGAGGCTTCCCAGGATTTGCATCCTCATTCCCATATCGAGACTCCTACGGCTGGGTCTGCCTGGTCGGCCGACCTTGTAAAAGCAAGGTGCCCCTTGTGACCTGTCTGTCGTTCTTCATGTCGGACTTGTTGAGGTGACATGTCCTCATGCCCCAGCGCTTTGATGCGCTGTGGGTCGCAAGAACTGGCATGACAGCTGATGCAGCTCCCTCCCTCCTCCGTCCACCCTAATTTCGTTCCTGTTCGGATTCTTCCTCGTGCCTCGTGCCGATGCTGTAGATGTTGTCGCCGGTGTTGTTGCTGCTCGTGTTACTGCTGCTCGTCGTTCGTGGGCTCAGCATCACTCCTATCCCGGCCGTCACTTATCCTCATATCCATCCGCTCTCCTCCATCGTCTCGTATCCTGCCTCATCCTCGTAGTGCGGCGCCCTCGTGGCCACAGCTTCCGCACCCGAGTCCTGCCGCGCGCGTTGCCCGCTTCCTGGTAGCAGGGCGAAGTCTCCTTTAGTGGTGGAAGGCTTCCCGAGAAGAGCTTCTGAGTTAGTGCTGTGATGGCTCATCTTGGCTTTTTGCCGGCCTTGCGGCCGAATGGCTTGTGACCCGTCGGCCAGCACATGTGCCGACCGCACCCTCGCCTCTCCCCCGCGCCTCGGCTCATCATCCGTCCCAAAACCTGGGCGCGTGATGCCACACACCCGCCCCGAGTCCTCTAACGAGCCGCTGCCTCCCGAGGAGCAGCCGCCGCGATGTTCCCGTGGACGGGATCCCAGGCATCTGGCGCCTCGCAAGATAGGAGCGGAGGCACGCCACAGTTTTCAGCCTCCAGTGGCCGCTTCGGGGTCGTGGCACCGTCGAGCGCATGATTCAGGACGGAAGCTAACTTCTAGGACGGAGGCTGGAGATTTGGGGATACTCTATGCTTTCGTTTTCTTTTTCTCTCTATATATATACACATAGATCTCTCTCTCTCTCTCTCTCTTTCTGCTTCTCGCTCTTTCTCGTCTCTCTTCTCTCTCTCTCTCACACTCTCCGCTTCTCGATGCTGATGATCTCTTTCTCTCTCTCTCTCTCTCTCTCTCTTCCTCGCGGCATGCCTCTTCCATCCCCCCCTCTCTGCCTCAATCATTTTCCGCGCTGCTGTTCCACCGATGCTGTGGAGCCGCTCGAACTTTAAGTCGGGGCTGCCTGGTGTCGTCGGCTTGGAGCTGATGGCTTCGAACTGGATTGCCAGGCGCAGCGACATTGTCGTCCTCGGCGAGCCCGCTGGAGGGCGCGCCCTGCGCAGCGATAATCACTCCAGCTAGACTACTCGAGCGGGCGCCGCTGTGTCGGTGGTGCAGAGATTCACCAGAAAGAGAGCGGCAGGGAAGGGAGTGGTCCGGGCGGAGTGTTCGACTGCCCTCCGTCGCTAGGTGGTGCGCACGAGTCGGGCGACAGATGGCCTCGCTTGTCCGGGCGGCAGGCCGGGCAGCGCGGCCCTGCACGTTCGAACACCAGCTTATCGATGGGCCCAAACTTGTGCAGCCGTGTGTAGCGGAGTGGGGGCCCCTCCCTTCACATGCTGTGCGTCGCGGGGCACTTCGGATAGGGGGCTGCGGACCAAGCGTGCAGAGAGGCGCGCTACCTTCCTCGTGGGGCACGATCCGCATGAGTGGTGTGCCGAAATGGGCTCAGGGCCTTAGGCCCACATGCAAACTTGCCCGCTAGGCGTATAAGCGTATAGGGTCCGAGGGCCGCCTGCTTCGTTTTTCACGCTTTGCCCGCTTCCAGCCCGCCGGTAGGCGTGAGCTTGCCTCGGGGTCTGGCGCCGATCCGGCGACTCGCTCCGTAGCTTTGATTTAGTTCATTGTGTACTGTGCATGTGCATATGCTTCCTGCTTGTAGGCGCGTCTCAGCTTGCCACCCTGGCTGCTGCGTTCGCCAATTCGCACTTTGCCGTTGCCCCGGACACTGCTCTTGCCGCCTGACCGTTGCCTCGCGGCCGCAATCGAAAAAGGGATAAGCGTATAGGGATACAACCTCGGGCACGATCCCCGTGAGGATTGTGCTGAATTGGGCGGAGGCTGCATGCGAACGCGCCCGTGGAGGCCGTAGGTAAAGCCCCCCACTGGGCATGGTCTGTGTGAGCGGTGCACCGAAATAGGCGTGGGAGGCCGCACGTGGGTGTGACTTCTTGTGTGTTGCGCGATCCGTGTGAGGGGTGCACGGGGAAGATGGAGCGCGCATTATACTGCGCGTGCGTAGGTCGATGAAGACAGTGCATATACAGCAATGCCAGAGAAGAGTTGAGGGTGTTGGCCTGGCATATCCGGAAGGCGTGCCAGCTTTCCAAGCATAACGCGGTGTAATCTGGCAGTGGCAGGCGCTAAGGGATGAGGAGCAGCCCGCAGAGTCCTCTGAGCCCCCAGTGCTGTCGGGGGGTAGGGGGAGTTGTTTGTCCCGGCAGTTCTTTCCAGGCCCGAAATTACTACAATCCCCTTTTCTGGGAATCGCGATGGCCTCGATGGGACATCGGATGGCCCTTGTGCCCCAAAGTAACGCTGCTTGTTGCGCTGTCTGGAGGAGGCCCGTATACCTATTGAGAGATGACTGTGAACCAACGGCGGCGGTTGCGAACCAAACTGCGGACGGACATATATATATATACATATATGAGAATATCCTCCTCCTTACCCTTTTTTCCTTGCAATTGTCCCCCCAGACCTCTCCTGGGGCGCGTTCTGATTACAAGCGTGAGGCGGATCCAGCTGTAATCACGCAGGCACCGCAGGAGGCCCCGAGAGGGCTCAAAAATGTCGACCCTACGGGCGTAGGCGTTGGAGGCCCATTCGTGCCTCAAGGACACCCGCGACAATCCTCGTCCTCCTCGTCCTCCTCCTCCTCCTCCTCCTCCTCCTCGCCATCTTCCTCCAGAAACCTCTCGAAACCAACGGTGCCTCCGAAAACCGCCAGAGAGCCCAGCAGATCACCGAACCCTGCCGACTGCATTCGAAGTGTCTGATCTCTGATGGCCGCTCCCAGCTTCCTTCGCGGGCCGGCGCATGCAAGGCTACGACGCTGCGGTGCGGAGAGGAGGAGGACGAGGAGGAGGAGCAAGAGAACGAGGACCAGTGTAAACCCAAGACCCATCAACAATGTTGCAATAAACCTCCCTCCAAGTTCCCTTACCACAGGTCCTTACAAGGGTTTGTTTTCACTGAGGGAAGTGCTCCGTTGGAGGACAGCCGCTTGAAAGTCGTGTACCGTGCCGAAACATCATTCCTGGGACTTCAACGCCGCGAATCAACGCTATTGTAGCGCCCTGACGATTTTGAATCGCACCAGAACGCCATTCCTGGGACTTCAACACCGCGCGTTAACGTGACTGCTGCGCCCTGATAGTCCTACATCGTGCCATAAACACAGTTTTTGGCACGACAGCCGTAATAATCCTTGAGTTTGCTTCGGGTTCTTGAGACGAGTGTGCGGGGCGCTGACGCAAGCGCCACATTTTGAAAAGGAGCCACCCTCAGTCCGCGAAGCTCTGCGAACTTTTAACACGAATGTGCGCGGCGCTCATGCGAGAGCCATATTTTGAAAAGGAGCCGCTCTCCATCCGTGAAGCTGGTGCGTGTTCTTAGGCTTCAGAATCACAATTGGTCAAGAGGCCTCAGGTGAAACGCCTGGCCCGCCCTACCGACACGCTTCGGGGTGCGACAGGGAGGAGGTATTCAAAAGGTCAGGAATGGGGGAAAGCATTCGCGGACCTCCCTCGCCTCATCAGACCCAGCCGTGTGGTATCAGAACATCGTGGGTGACGTTATCCTGCAGGCAACAGGCGGCGAGAAACATATGAAAAAGGCAGTTGATTGCAGCTGCATGCGCTCTCGTGGAGGACCTGGAGAGCAAGGACTTGAAGGCCTATCGGAATAATATCCAGTTTTTGGTCAACACAGAAGGGGTGGCGCAGGCCATGGAAGCTGCCTTGGTTCAGGCGACAGCCCGTGCTGGCACGGCTGGGGCTCCCACCGAGCCTTGGGGGCGCGCAACCTGGGCTGTAACGCCATCCTCCGCCCGCGCACCCTCCACCACAGGAGGATGATGCCATGACGGGTACGACCTCCAAGCAGCCACCACCTCTACCACCATGGTCGGTACCACTGCCATCCACGCCTACTGCGTCGGTGGCAACACCCGCATCTACAATGACACCACCGCCACCTAACGTGGCGACTCCGACGGATTGATGGCCGCTGGAGGCGGGCGCGAGAGCAGGACGCCAGGCTGCGAAAGGCGGAGCGGGTCAAATCTTGAGGCGTGCTGGGGTGGCAACCGCAGGGTTGCAACGATGCAGCTCCGCGACCACGGCCCTATGGAGCTCTATGGGGCTCGGCCGCAACGGGGACCGCTGACGGCAAGCTGCGCAAACTCCGGATCCAGGCGGCGAGGGCCGAGGGGAGGTTGCCATCATGATGCAGCGTGGGCCTCAGGTTGAAGGCCTTCCCCCAGCGGAACAGGCGCGATCCCTGCACGTTGCACACCGTGGAGCTCGGGCGAGCCTTGGCCACCAGCCTCACCAAGGGCATCCTCGCCCACGGCGTGCTGCAGGCGTGCTGGGAGGCAGGCTACGGCATCCTGGCGAGGCAGGAGGTACGCGCAGCAGGTTTCTGACTTGTGCGCGCTCGCCCGACTCCGTGGCGACGGCGCTTGAGCTGCTCATGGCTGTTCTGCTGAATTGGATGCCGACTGCAGGGCTGCTTGCCCGACGTGGCGACGATGAGGAGGAGCGGGGCGCGTCACATAAGCGCGCCCGCGGGAGCCTTATCGGATGATCTCATTGGACTCAGGCCAGGCTCTGCAATGCTATGAGGGGCGCGAACATCCGCAGGTGAGCCTGGTGGACCGAAATGGGGGACCAGAACGTGGAGGTGGTCAAGGTGAAGGCCCACTCGGCGGAGGGGGCAGCCATGACCCCGCTGGACAGCTGGAAACGGACGGGCAATGGCATCGCCGACAGCATGGCCAAGGCGGCGCGAAGCTTTGGCAGGTTGTTCGCTGCTGCATGCAGGCGGCGCGCCAAGCAGCTGAGCCAGTGGTTGGGCGACGCGCAGGTCCACATTCAGAGACACGAGCTGCGCGAACACGCGGGCCTGGATGGGACCACTGCTGAGGCCGCCTGGCAACCGCCGCAGGAGGCCGAACATCGGCCACGCCGCTGGGGCAAGAGGAGGACGAAGCTAAGGTTGAGGTGATGGCGGAGGGGAGGGCGCGGACGTCGCAGATGCCAGGCAACAGCATCGTGGCGTCTGGGTGCCAGGGACAACCAGACTTGCTCTTCTGCATGAGCTGTGGGGCCAATGCGCAGCATCGGAGACAGGGCTGGGAGAAGCTCCTGCAGGCTTGCAGGGGCCCGGAGGCATCTGGGCTGGCGGAGGCAAGGCGCTGGCTGAAGCAGGGGGTTTACCCACTCCCGCGCCAGAAAGGCGTGAGGTTTGACCCGCCCCAGGGCACAGGCCAGACAGCGCGGGCCACCTGGCGCACGGTGCTCGACCCGGCGCAAGGGGAAGTGGAGGCATCCAGGTACGGCTTGGAAGGGGGGCCCCTGGACCTGGGGACGGTCGCCGAGCTCCACGGGCTCCAGAGCCCACAGGCGGCGACCGCATGGGAGCGCCGCGAGGCGCAGGAGGAGGAGGAGGAGGTGGAGGAGGAGGAGGAGGAGGAGGAGGAGGAGGAGCGGAGACGCGCTGCAGCATGGCCCTTATTGTTCGGATCGGCGCGTTGCTCCCATCGTTCAGAATGGTGCTCTCGCCCCAGCGTGGGCCACTTTTCTGGATCCGAATGTTGCTTCATTGTGGTCCCCCCTTCATTTCCCCTCCTCTGCCTTCCCTTGATTCTCCTGTTCCTCTCCTTCCACTCCAGTTCCTGCTGCTGCTGCTGCTGTTCGTCTCGCCCCCACGCGGACCATTTCTCTGAATCTGGGTCTTTCTTCATCATCGTCGCCTCCCTCATTTCCCCTCCTTTGTCTTCCTCTGGTCTTCCTTTCCCTCCCGATCATGCCGCTTTAATTACTTCGTTCCTGCTGCTGCTGCTGCTCGTCCGCATCCATTCCTCCCGCTTGTCCTCCTGCTCACCCGCCACCTCCTCCTCCTTCTCCTCCTCCTCCTCCTCCTCCTCCTCCTCCTCCTCCTGTGCACGCATCTCTGTTTTTGCCGATTGCGCATAACACGAAGTGTTTTTCTGTGTGAGTCGCAGGGCAGGTAGATACAATCCAGCGCCATGGGCAGGGATGGGATGGACGAGTAACATGTCAGATGAGGCGCGAGCGCACCTAGCTTGATCCCAACGTTATCCCCCTTCCTCCCCTCCTCCCCTCCC